AAAAAAAAAAAAAAAAAAAAAAAAAAAAGCACAGCCGTCGCGCCGTTATCATCCAGCCAACGGTACATTGTATCAACGGACCAATCGGTTAGCGCGATCCATCAATGTTTTTTTTTTTTTGCCTTCCGACAGCTGCAGATGTACCTCAGAAAACTTCACTTAATGTCTCATACTCTACATGAATATTAAACCAATACGAAGTACAACAACATATGTAGGACGTATTTCTACTGTCACTTACATCGTAAAAATATCTCCACTTCAACTTGAATCCTCATGGTATCCTATATGCGTTCGTAAGCTTGCTAAAATCCTACTGCGTTGATGTCCTCTTGTAAAAGCTGAAATCCATCAAATGCTTTGATCCATGCTACATCTCCGTGTTGGAAAAGCCCTTGATGTATAGTCTACTGCTGTACCTTCTGAAGAAACACATGTGCGTAGATCCTCCTACACCAATAGATCTGCAGTATTTGTAGTGTACGCCCCGCGGACTAGAAAAAGTTTTGGCACCAGTAATAGGTCGCATCGTGCCCGATCAAGGCAATGGATAGTTGCACGGTGGTGAATCTTGGACCCTTGCTGTGTGTGCAAGACACACTACAAGCGGAAGGCTCAATCAGCAGTGATCATCCAAGAAATACGTTGTCTCTCTGGTAGATCCTGTCTTGACGAAAACAAACTTCGGCCAATGAGAGGAGAACCGACACCGCTGTCAATGCAGCAAGCGTCATGTGCCATACGGTCCGAACCCTTCCTTGCCGTAAAAAGGCCCGGTTGGAGCATGTCTGCGGCCATTATCTCGCCTTGTCCCACAGCTCGCAACACCGGAGGAAAGCGGATACGAAGAGTCTACAGCAGGGAAGGTGGTGTTTCATATGATTTGTCTGTAGAAGAACCAATCTTCGAGAGCTTTCCAAAATAACACCTATCGTTTGATCCATGGCACGCTCATTGTGTGGCGGAGAATCAGAGAGAGTTTCGACAGGGCAGACATGCGTGGAACAGAGTACCCAAACCGAAAATGTGGGAGTGGGATGCTAACTTTACACCCGTCAGTAGCGTCCCCCCCCCCCACCCCCCCCCGGTGTTTGCCATCGGGGTTGGGTTTTCGTCGCTTGGCAACGACGTTGTAAAACAAGCCGCCCCCCCCGGTGTTTGCCATCGGGATTGGGTTTTCGTCGCTTGGCAAAGACGTTGTAAAACAAGCCAATTCCCTTCGTGAACTCGGCAACCAGGTTACCTTTTTTTTTTT